CCCCGTACCCTAGGCCCACTACATCATACCTACCATGATGCGCTTGTTGGACTCTAAGGCTTGCCGATTCGAGGCTAGGCTAGAGGATGACTTTGACTGCAAGGCCTTCTTTGATCTAGGGTGGGCACCTATACCTTTGCGCTCAATACCCCTCCCCCATCATCAGAGTTGCTGGTACCCTGGTTGTGGTGCCCATCGAGGGCCATAATGTCACAGCCAATACAGTGGCCTCTGCTGCTGAGTTTATACGTGAGGACGTCATACCAAGATGCCTCACGCCTCAAGGGATCAATGATCTATGGTGAGCCTGGTACATAAGCATTGGCGGATAGCTAGTTAGTGTAGGGAAGAATACGGTTTTGGTTCGTCGAGGAGTAGGATCAGATTACAGCAAGAGGAGGACTCAGCAGCAGTAGAGAATGCGGAATGGTTACGGAAGGTTGAAGCCTATCAGCCTCGGGCTCATAAAGGGAAAGGTGGGAGGGTGCATTCGGGGGTCCTCGAGAACATACCGTCTGTACTAGGTGGTATTGGTGCCGCTACTGTTGGTGACGGACTTGTTGCTGGGACGCCAATGTTTCATACCCCAATCGAGAGTAGTGAGAGGAGCCACTTCATCCATGGCCAGGTCAATGGCACTGCTAGCTCTAGTTTCTATACTAACCTTCCTGTCAGACAATAGACCCAGAGGACAGTGAGCCTGTGGTCAGTAATCTGGTAAAGATACCAGAGAAGGTATCCCAGGTAGTTACTAGGCGCCTGCAGGAGATTAAGATGGCTACCAAGATAGTTGATATCAAGGTGGTGGACATTGACCGGAGAAGGGCTTGCATCAGCATTAGCTCTATCAGATATCATCTACACCCCAGGCAGGTCAGAGGAGTGTCATGCTGAAGGGCACCAAGAACCGGATACAGACGGTCAAGGACATCTTCATGGAGTTTCGAGCATCGGCAGCTGATAGAAAGTCTGCCACCTTGGACAACCTCCTTAATGCGTATCAATATACGTCCCACATTTAACGTAATCCTTTCCATTATTATTCTGATCGTTGTTCAGTAC